ATTTTAGGGGGCCTGTTACCATTGGGAACTTGTGACATGGGCGCCCTCTTTGCGGGGGCTGGTTGGAATGGAGGGTGTGGGATCTAACCAGCACCAGCTGTTTCTGAGGAAATTAAGGGGCGCCAGAGAAAAAAAAAAACCCTCCCCCACCAAAACGGATGCTCCTTATTTCCCAGGTTGACAGAGGGCCCCCCCCAGACACCTACCTGGTGTATCCACCAGGAAGGGTGGATTTGGAGGTGACTTCAAAAATAGTGGAAGGTAACATGGGCTCAGCAATTTGAACCCTGAGCCACTAGAAATGGGGGTGACTTGGTGAGAAAAAAAAAAGGTATTGTCTAGAGACGGAGTCTGATAACCCCTTCTCGCTGAACAGGAACAGCCTGGATATTCCAAGACATAGTTTGGGGGGATTTCAGTGGGGAAAAGTGGGAGATCCTCTTCACTTCGAGGGTGGCAAAGTTGGGTTCTTCCCTGACACTGGCAGGGCCCCAGCAGGGGTGGGGTGAGCTAATATTCCCAACGCTAAGGATCCACATCCTTTAGACTATAAAAGTGGATTTGGCAGGAGTTCAGGGGCCCTGAAATAGGGTGAAAAGATGCCTGGGGATGCTGGAACCACATATTGGAAATGTTGAGGGTTATGACTTTGGGATAGGGTAAGTGGGGACAGAGATACTGGGGAGCAGGGGAGGGGGCAAAAGTCCAGGGTGGGGTTGCCTGAGGGGTACATAGGCTGCTGGATCCAGTGGAGCTAGCAAGGGGGCCCGAGGGTGAGAGCTGACGCTTTGGGGGGGGGGGGTGCTGAGGCTTGTCCCTAAGGTCCGGTGGGTGGGGCGGTGAGTCGGGAAAGAGCGTCAAGAGCATGCCGTGGTGAGCGGGCTTCTCTGGGGGAGCCCAGCGCGCTCCCAGCGCCTGCTGGTTTGGGGGTGTCTCCTCCCGGGGCGCCATGGGGGCCCTGGCCAGTAGCCTGATCCGGCAGAAGCGGGAGGTCCGCGAGCCCGGGGGCAGCCGGCCGGTGTCGGCGCAGCGGCGCGTGTGTCCCCGCGGCACCAAGTCCCTTTGCCAGAAGCAGCTCCTCATCCTGCTGTCCAAGGTGCGACTGTGCGGGGGGCGGCCCGCGCGGCTGGACCGCGGCCCCGGTGAGTGGCTGGGGCGGGGTGTCCGGGACGGGGGTCTCTCTGCCCGGGAGGTCGAGATGAGGGGCTCTGGGGAATGGAGCCCGACTGGGGGAGGCTCCCAGGAA